GACGCCCTGCCCAAGGCACGTACTATTCCTCACCCAATGTAACCTTTATCCATATTAGGATACGGGAGTAGGAGGGGTGGTCCCGCCTAGGTGCCCTGTAAGGACCTAGGTGCCCGGCGAGGCGGGTCCGCGGCTCAAAGAGGGCAGGAACCCCACACCCACATCCTATTCGTAACAGCATTGCCCTGAATTCGAATGCTAAAATTCCCTTTGAAAGGCAAAGACATTGGTTCCACTGGCTATATGCCTTTGCTGAATTAGCCTTTGGAATGTGAAAGCTTCACTGGCGCTGGTGCAGACTTGTCCATTGACACATTGTTTCAATGCCTGCTCAGATAGCGCCGTGTTGCTTCCGCCACAATGCACAACGTGTCGACAAGGGGCCGGGTGATGCATCCTTGGCTCCGTTTCAGGGCCCATGTGCGCCAGCCGCTGGAAAAGAACGGAAGCGGGGCGGATCACAGCAGCTTGCCTCAGGTTGCTGCGATTCTGGACATGATTGCATGGGCAGCAGTGTGCAGGCCTTGAACAAATCGCTGTGGTAGGGCGCTGCTCGTCGCCTTCCTGTTGGGCTTTGGCTGCTCTGCGCTTCTCTGCCGCTAACAGCTGCGGCTGGGAACGTCCTGGCAATCAATGGCTATTTCAAGTTGACAGCAGTTGCAGTGCGTGCACACCCAGACTTGGCCGAGGGTTGGGAAATGCAAATTTACTGGAATGTAAAAGTGAACTGGCTAGCTTGTGTGAAAGCCATGAGCTCCCTGTGTTTCATCATTCTGATTCCGTTTGGGCGCCATGTCCATGGAGTGCATCATGCAAAGTCTATTTCTTCTGGAATTTCAGTGTGGTTCCTTGCAAAAGGGGGGAAAGCAAATGATACCAAGGCTACTTTGCCTTCGTCAGAAGCGATTATTGCTCGTCACTTTCCAAGAGTTGCAGTGCCGCAAAGTCTAGTTGTCCCTAAAAGTTGTTGCAGAGTGTGCACATGTCGTCAAGGGAGGTCCCTGAGCAGAGGCATCGCCAGGAATCCAATAATTACGAGTTGCTGGAAGTTCATGGAGTAAAACGGGGTGGAAATAGACGAAATCGTTCTCTTAATTCGTGCTTTTGCATTGTGTTCATGCTCATGTTGTGGCCACGCTTTCAGCGCTGCTTTATTGCGACAATGGCGACATGGAATGGGGAGCCCACGACCTCAACTGTGTCCAGTTGAAAGTCGCCGAGGATGATTGAGCACTGCCCTTCGTGCAAAGAGGGCGCGAGGCCAAGAATAATGAGTACTATGGCAACCACTGCAACCACATGAGCAAGTAATGCGTGCCGACCACGGTGGAGTTGGTCCCTTGGGAATCCGCTTGGCTGGGAGAACGGCCCGATTCTGGAATGACAAAGTTTGCGCCGAAAACGGAGACGACCAAATAGGGAGCGGTTCCATAGCACGGCGCAGGCAATGCAGACGTGTGCATCTCCAATTGCTTCACCCGGTGCCGAGCGCAACTTGAACCAGAGGTTTCTAATGGCGGGCCTGTGGTGCAAACGAGGGTGTAAATATCCCAAGAACCGAAATGATGCTGCGCAGTTTTAGGTGGATTCCGACTAAATCTGATACAGCACATCTTGCTGCGCTGTTCTGCCTACAAATCTTATCTATTAAAAATTAGACGTGCATGCAGATTACCCTTGTGACCAGTGTGCGAATACGGTCGTCATACGATCCATCAATATGCGCATCTGGTTCCACTTACAGTGCACCTCCCTCTTGAGACGTGTCAACTGAAATCGGTGCCCTGCGGGATGGAATTCACAACTTTGATACTTTTTTTGGAAACGGGATCCACTTGTGAACAGCATTATTTTTGAATCATCGTGTGATCTGTGCAACATGTTTCACAAGGGTGTTCCTTTGTTCGATTATGTTGCTGAGCCACACAGGCATAATATCATGCGCACAATGCTGCACTCCATAAATCACTGTACAACAGTATCTTAAACTAGGATACTACACTCACCTAGCCAGGCATCCCACCTCCATGCCTGGCCCCCTCCTCCTAGTGAGGAGGGCCCGGCGCCCCCAAGGTTCCTAGCCCTTGGGCGACGCCACCGCACTTTGCGGACTCCTCACGAGGGTGCGACTACAACCCTCCCACCATCCCCGTCCGCATCTTCATGTCGCAGCGCCAACCTCGGCCAGGGCACCCTCTAGCGGGTGCCCCGTTTGGCCTCTTTGGCCAGCGCCCTCGCTCTTGTCCTTGCTCTCGCCCTTGATCTTGACATCGCTCTCGCTCTCGCCCTGCCCCTGCCCCTGCCCCTGCCCCTGCCCCTGCCCCTGCCCCTGCCCCTGCCCCTGCCCCTGCCCCTGCTCTCGCTCTCGCCCTCGCCCTCGCCTTCGCTCTCGCTCTTGCTCTCGCTCTCGCTCTTGCTCTTGCTCTTGCTCTTGCTCTCGCTCTTGCTCTTGCTCTCGCTCTCGCTCTCGCTCTCGCTCTTGCTCTTGCTCTTGCTCTTGCTCCTGACCCTAACCCTGCCTCGACCTTGCCTCGACCTTGCCCCCTCGACGTTGCCCTCGAGCCTCCTCTTCCCTCTCTCTTAGAGGCAGACAAAAAAATGTACACAGCCATCACCAAAACATTTGATTTCCGCGATATTGGTAAACATATGTTCAGGAGCTTAGCTGGCAATGAAATATGGATTCTTCATGCGACATTTGGAGGCTGCAGATGTCTGTGATAGTCCGCAAACAGGGATCTACGTGAGTCTTGCTGGTAACCATCGGCAGCATTCTGAATGTTCTAGTATTAGGTGGAATTCATTTAAGCAAATTCCGATATCGCCTATATGGTGCCAATCATTTGTTCAGACATTTTTCAAGCACAACGTGTACATGAAGTTCAGTGTTATTTCGCTGATGTGATCAGCACATGTGCTCGAAAAGAGGCTGAGGAGACATGATCCAAAGAACAAATCCCGAACAAGTGCTGCTATTGGAAGTGCAAATGGATGATAGGTTGTTACTGTGACAACTAGTCATCGCAACGGGTGACGATGCATCGCGCTGCATTGTGAGATGAATGGTTCACAATGGCAATTCATGCATACCAAGCAAGTTTTCATAACGCTGCTTGCCGCCAAACTGTACCTCGACGGTGTATGGCAAGCACTGCCACTAGGGCTAGAGGATCAGTCACATTTCTTTCCCAAACGGTACAAGGGGAAACATCAAAGACGTTCCGCGTGTTTGTCCTGGTGTATATGTGTGTGTGGGGTGTGTTGGCGTCCAAGGACACGGCAGAATGAAGATCGACAGGTGTGCTAACTGAGACACAAGAATTCAGCCAGTGGGGCTTCAAACGATCTGATTTCGGCTAATCTGGATGGTTCGGAAATGTTTTCATAATGGCGTATTGCGATTATGGCATTTATTCTTTCTTCGATCCAGTGCCGCCAACAATAGTTTGCTGCACATGTACACTCGGCGTCTATTGTATTTGGTGCGGAAGAAGCAACAAGTGCTCTAATGCGCATATTTATAAACGATTCAAAATATCATTGCTTTGTGTAGCTCTCAGGACCATGTTCTCAACCCTCTACGATACGCGCATTGCGCTCTCCATAATTTGTCTGTCTTCCCGCGCTGGATGTATAGTTCTCAATGCAGAATGGCCGTTAGGGTCGACGCCAGCAGGCCACAAGGCCTCCGAGTTCAGTGCTACAGTATCCGACCCACGCTGACCGCCAAAACCTCGTCGCCGCAGCCGCCGTGAGCGACTGGCGACCGAAATTTCCAAACGCGCTTCATCGAACTGAAAAACCTTCTCCCGCCCAAGCGTGCTTGATCGCGAGCAGACGAGAAGCGCGAAATCGCCAAGTCGCCCCTGCGCACCCTTGACCGTAGCTCGCCGGCCGCCTCTGCCTCAACTCCGCGCGCGCCCTTCTCTTAAACCTTCCCGCCGCCCGCCTGTTTGCATTGTTTCCACAGTGGTCATTTCCAATAGCCATGGGAGGGCGGCTGAAAAGCGCGGGGGGTAGGGTTGGTCAAGGAAACGCTCGTAGGCCGCAGGTGCCCCCAGGGGGCAGCTTCACGCACCGCACTTTGACGACCGGCCACGTGCTCAATGTTGTCCGCCTCAACAGCAGGACCTGCGTGGCACTCTGCGCAAGCACAACGGTTTTGGAGCAAACGGGAAGAGAGGGGGAGATAGCGGCAAACACGAGTGGCTGGCACGGTCGGCCGGAATTTATAGGCCCTTTGGGGGGAAAACCGATTTTTTCACATGAAAACGGCAAAAACACACAGTTGCATCACCTCGATCAGAAGCGTGATTGTCGAGTCACGTGATCTCTTGAGCTCAAGCATCAAACAAAAAACACGTCGCTCTAATTTCAGCATTCTTCCAACGCGGCAACATCGGGCGCACATTCTCCCTCATGGCTCTTTTACTTGCTGCCAGTGCACGCACTCATTGCCAAGGACTCGGGCAGGTCCGCAAAGCTCGTCCGATGGATCTCTTGCCTGGCGCACTACGTAGCAACACATACAGCAGTTCACTGGCACTGTACCATGATAACGTCTGGAAAATTGCAGTGAGTCATTGAAGTCACTATTCAGGCAGCACCTCCTACCCCAAAGTGGGATGTCTTCCTTTTTTCTGTGCACTTTCCACGTTAGTGCACCCATCTATATGTTGCGTCTACTGCTTTTGTCTATAGCATCCATATCGGCACTTGCCACCTTTGCACTGGCGAAAGGTAGAATGGGAGTTTGTCATTACTTGTTGATTCTAATGTGGCATGTTGCTCACTTCCCGGTCTGTCCCACTGTTTGCTGTGACAGGGAAATCAACATCCGACGTCTGTCCCGCACGGGGCGTCCAGCCGCCACCCTCCTTCCTCTAACCTATAACGTGCCCAACCAAGGAGCAGGACGCCATTTTGTCAGTACATTGGGCCCTGCTGTCAGAGACTACTGGACTTTGGCATCCTGGGTCGCTCTCGCTCGCAGAGCAGCGATGAACGCCGCGCAGGTGCTGGACGACGAGGTCCCGGCGGCGTACAGGCGTCTCGTGCAGCCGCACGTCGAGTCGTTCAATTACTTTCTGCGGGAGGGGCTGAGCAGCGTGGTGGAGGGGGTGCGGCCGGTGGAGGTGCGGGGCGGCGCAAGGCAGGGATTTGTGGGATTTGCGGCAGTGCGGTGTTCGGGACATTGCGCCGCGGAGGGCGATGGGTCGTGTTCTGCGTTGGCGGTCCGCGAAATTTCGCAGGAGATCGGGTTCCGGGTTGCTGATTGCTTTGCCGCAGCTTGGAGAGTGGGATGATTGCCGTTGTCGCACATTAGCCTTGTCGGGGGAATCGGTGGAGTGGCATAATCCTTTGTTGCTACAACCCGGGGTAAAGACACTGACCTTTCTCCGAGGAGCAAAGCTCAATGATTCAATTTTGGAGTCTCATAAGAGGTTGTATTGGAGAGCTTAAATGTTTAATGTACTAAACGATCGATTTGAGAGTCCAATTTTGTGATTTTGGTGCCAGTAACCATGCAAACCCAATAACACAGTCAATAAGACAGCTGTCCAATTCACAGAAATCTGCGATAACTCCTGCCAAAACCCTTGGCAGAAGATGCAAATCGTTTTGGCGAAACAGGCCGTTTTCAGTGCGCTTGGCACATTGCATCCAAGGGATTGTAGTTGTAGAGCAAAGAGGCCGACTCCGTTGCAAACCATGCCACTGTATAATGGCACGGACGTTGCATTCGCACAGAAGAGAAATGCCTGTCATTGCTTTGCTTCTTCCAGGGCAGGTGCCGCCCTTTCAACACAGCAGTGTAAAATTTCATAAAATCTTCATTTCATTCGCACAGCAGGAACAATAACGCACAAAATCTTTTCGTCTGATTCAGAGACTGTTGATGACACTAGGAGATCGGGATTCAAGATTGCAAAGAAACGAGAATGTATCAGCAAGGAATTGGGATATGGTATTATGCATTCCTGGATGCCCATGTCTGGCCGACAGCAACAGCAACAGCCTCAGCATAAGCCTCACAGTGTTCCAAACACATATCCATGCACCTGGGACAGCATTTTGGGTCATTATAGGTACAGAACATTTCATCCCCGGGGTGGTCTCATGCACTTGGGACAGCGCCCCAATATAACTTGCAACAATGCAGGGCAGCACAGAATTGGAATCGAGTCAGAGCTTGTGATGCATCAGGAATGGTGTGCCAGTACTTTGGCTTCATTGTTGAACATACTGTGAGTGACAATGGCAATAATGTGATTGTCCCAAGTGCCATCTCCATGATCTGCATCTCCAGCCGTGTGGTGAGCATTGTCTATTTGTGTATCAGATCCGGCACCCTGTGACCCAAAAGATTCACAGCTTCTGGTTTGGAAACCCCATCATCGGCCAGCCCATCAAGACCGAAGCAACAGTTGGCAAAGAACAGCGGCTGTTTCCAAGGGAATGCAGGCAGTCGGTGGGTAATCTGAAGCCTCGCTGCAACAAGCAGATTTGGCTAGATCGAATGGATCAGAACTGCAATTTATTGTTTCGCTGCATGTGGATCCAAGGCAAGTAGTTTCAGAGGATATATTCGATTGCAAAGTTAGTCTGCTTTGTTCTGAACTGGCCATGACCTCTGTCATGCTAGATGTCCTTGTATATGAGAAGCCAACGTGCTGCATCTGTGGAGCTATGTGGTAGCCAATTGATTCTCTTCGTGGTGAGTTTGTAGCGTATCTCTTTTCTGTGTGTCATGGTGTTCAGTGTCAGTAGGTGATATTGGATCCGCTGTTTTGCAGAAAAAATCATATGTGGCGGCATTAAACGTGGATTTTATGTATGGAGTGCAAGGGGCTGAGCCACGCAGGCTGCACATATGGTGGGTGAACGCAAACTCATGTTGAGGTGCAAGGAATAGTCAGCGGAATTGACACACTGTCAAAAGGATGCCACAGCAAGATTTCGTCTTTCTCTGCTTACTCCTTGCTGTCAGAAATGTTGTGTTGGGTGCCTACCAGTGAATTTTGTTTGGCTGAACTGCAGAGCATGCATTGATCCAGTGCTGGACTTGTCTCTTGTCGATTGGATGCTCACCTGAGTTTCTGTGTGCAGCGTGTTCCTTATGACATTCATACAGGGCAATTGTCAGGCAGCACATTTTAACTTTTGATTGTGGCTGTATGCTTGACGCACTGTGGTTTGCTGTTTTTCGTAGTTTAGGCCAACTTCCAGTCATGGTTGGCAGCACAGCATGCAATCTTCGTGGCATGTCGAAATCTCAGCTGGTGAGACTACAGGAAGAGGCCAACGATGCCGGTGGCTATTTTGTAGTTGGAGGGCTGGAAAAGATCGTTAGGATGTTAGTAATGCAGGTGAGAGGAGTTCCCATTCCCTGGTCGGCCCTGGCACTCGTTTGTTGATGCTTTGCCTTGGGGCGATGCTGACCTGTTGTCAAGCTGACTGCCCTACTAGTGGCAATGTCATCAAACAGAAAGATGTGTGAATCTCTCGTGTGGACTAGTCGTGAGTGTATGTTGTCCCTTGGCCAGATGGTGGATTTACCATATACTCATTTGTTTCCTTGATGGGGTGCAATTGGGGCCGTAGGTAGGTGGATTCGCTGCTGGTGGAGTAACTTTTGGCGTCACACGATGCTCTGGTCTGATCACTCTGGTGTGATTCCTGACTCGAATCCTGCCTGCCCATCTGGCTGTCATCTGCACTTGCATTTTCGTGACCTAAAGTCCCACCATGACATCCAGACTGCTGTTCGCACTCTGTCGCTTCTCCTAACCTTGATGTCCCTGTCCACAATGTGGTGATCATGACATGTTCACCAGCATCCGATTGGCACTGCTGAAAGGTTGCCGTTGTCATATGTACAGCGTCGGCACTACATAATGGCACTGGAGCGCAGTTCGTTTCTAAAACGAGGTGCCGGCTACACCAACAAAGCCACATTGATAAGGTGGGCCCCTTTTGCCGCATGTTCAGGATAAGATAACATACTCCATACACATGTATTGTTTTGTATGTTGTAGTTGAGGATCATGCAGTTGGCAAAGAACCATTTGAACTGTTGGGTTGAGACAGGAAGCTATGGAGTTCTTGAGTTTGAAGTCTCAGAGAACTGGCTCACATTAGAATTATGCACAGAAGGCAACATTGCAGTTGCTGCTGAATGGAATTCTCTTGTTGTCTCCTGATACGCTTTTACTTTGCCTTCAAATCCTCAGGAGTCACCCCACACTGTCAAGCCGTATTGCTTTGCTCTTTTGTTATGGTTTTTGCCTGTCATCAGGGGCATGAAAACAGATGACTGCTGATTCAAAATCGAGAATTGTGAGGTCGTCACAGATTTGTCAGTGTTGGGATGAAGTCACCATTGTGATGCTCTGTGAACCGCTACTGCAGAAGAATTATGCCACAACATGCCATCTGAGCACAAATGACCGAGATAATATGTCATTTTGTAGAAAGTGATCCAGAAATCTTTGCATCCATGATCAGCAGTGCACAAAGACAAACAACACTCAGCAGGAAGCATCAGCTCATTTTTTCTGTTGCAGTGGTTGGTTGCTGGTTCCTTCTGACGAAGTCGCACAGATTCAAGTTTTCAGGGTGTTTGTTGGGTTCCTGTAGTGTGGTGAATCAACACAGCCAGGCACCTTGGCACCACCTGGATGTGGTATTACCCAAGCCAGTGGTAAAATCTGGCAGTTCTATTTGAATTTGTTACCCAGTGTTGTCTGTCAACTGTCTTACTTAAAACAGCCAATGAAATTCACAATATTTATCTCCCTGTTGATGCTGCCTATGCAAAGCAGTGTGTGGACTGCAGGTGTGTTCGTGAAGATGAGTATGGCAGCACCATCACATGCTATTATCTGGAAGACGGTACTGTAAATGTGGGAGTAGTGGTGCGAGGGATCGAGTTTTTTATCCCTGCAGGCATATTGCTCAAGTGCTTTATGGAGGTATGGCCCCAACCCATGTTGTGTCCAGTGCCTAGCAATCTTGATGTTTTGAAGGCATACTGTTCACACTTTAGCTAGCAGGCCACAAATTGTGATTGACACGTTCTATCCCACAGCTGAAGTTCGCAACCATTGCTATGGGCTGCCGTACTGAGTAGAGGAGGGAATTAGCGGTGAAATTTGATGTTGCATGCGTAACTGAGGACCCCTTCATACACAAAAACGCATTCCACATGCGCCACTAGTACAGTGCTGCAGCAGTGCAGGTGGACACAGACTTCAGCAGCAAGTTGTCAAATTAAAGTGCTTATTCCGGCCCTTGGATCGCAGGTGTCCGACAAAGAACTGTACGCCCAGATCGCTTCTGCAGATCTCGATGACAAGGATGGTGACAGTGGTGTCAGGGCCCATGGCCATTCCACTTTTGTTGCTGACAGGACGGAAATGCTGTTGAGACAGGCTGCAAGAGCTGGGCTGTTGACAAGGTGCAGTGCCCCCCAACAGCTTTACTTAACACAGCAGTTTATCACATTGAATAGTTTAGTTGTTGCTGCAGTGCTGGCCAAAGATATGTGGCTCTTATGCCTATGCCTATGAGGAACCAGAATATTGAGTTTTTTGTGAAGACCAATGCACCTTCTCAAAAGAGCAAATTCGACCATCCTGCAGGGGCCCAGGCAGATCAAAATTTGCTTCAAATCGCATTGTTTCATTGACTTTCCCCAAGGAAGGGCTACCCCTCTTGCAGACTGTTTTCCTTACAGCACCAACCACCATACCAAAACGAATCCACCAGATCTTGCAGCTTCCACACTTTTGTCTGCGGTAAAGGGTGAATTGTAACAAGAAGAAGAAACAGTACACGGGATGGTCACCATCTTGTCAGCTAGAAGAATATGAGACTCGCAGAAAGATCATAATGTGTGCTGTTTGTGACTCAACGTGTGCCCCTGTTCGATTTGTTGGCGCAGGTCACAGTGTGTGGGGCACATCGGCAGCCATTTCCGCAGCAGCATGGGGTTGCCCGAATGGTACACAGACCATGAGGCGGGACTTCTGTTCCTTGAGGATTACATGTTTGTGCACCTTGACAATGGAGAGGACAAGATGAACCTCCTCATACTTATGATTCAGAAGCTCTATGCACTTGTAAGTGGCGTTATTGGCTGTGGGTTGTCACAAACGCTTCATACCATGGCATAAGATTGTACAGTTCAAGCCCCCCACCTCTTCTGTTAACAGCAAGGTAGCATGCGGACCCGTAACGTTATGCAGCTTTCTGCAAAATAGAGTTAGATAAGATGTAATAGTGAACATTGTCCTTTTCCAGAATGTCCTTGGCATTGGTTGTTACAAAACGAACCTTGTTAATGCCGGCTGTGGAAGAAAGCCTATGAAGCTACATGGCTGTGACTGTGCATATTGGCGTCGCTTCTCTGATGATCTCATTGCGTGGCTTCCAGGTGCATGGAGACTGCTGCGTGGACAACGGCGACGCCTTGTCCTCTCAGGAGGCCCTGCTCCCTGGGCATTTCTTCATGAAGGTCATGCGAGAGCTGCTAATAAACTGGCTGGAATTCTTCCGAACGAAAGTGCAGCGAGACATTGAGAAGAATCCAGAGGGCGTGGACCTCACGGTGCGCAGGTCGCACCTATTTTGGCGAATATCGATGACCGCGATAATGGAATGAGGCATTGATTGATGTACAATGTGTGCTTGTGCTGGCGATTCTCAAGCACTGGACTGAGTGAGAATATTTCCCGAAAAGGTGTTGTCTGGCTCAGGGAATGAGCACCATGTTTGCCCTCATTTTTGTGTGGTAACAGCGATTGTAGCTTTCATCAAAAGCACGTTGGCAAATGTGTCTGTCGTGCCACTGCCTTATTCGAAGACAGCCAAGAATTTCCATGTCAAAACGTCAATGCTAGCCACAGGGTTAAAACTCTCCTTCGTTGCTAGAGACCGTAGACACTTCCATTGCCCGCAACCCCTAAGAGCCCCAAGCTACATGATAGAATATCACCGAGCAGGCTAAGTACGTTTAGTGAAAGTGTTGAATTCCGTTCTACACAAGTAGATTTTCTGTCAACAGTGTCGTGTGTGTGTAGAAACCCCACTGTAGAATGGGCACACGTGGCAACTTTGCAGTTGTCGGCGCTGTGGTGTTGCATGTTCCATGTGCCTGTTGTGCCATATGCCACATTGCTACGTCATTAGCACTAGAGGCGAATTTTGCATGAAATTGCCACTGTATGACCCGCTCAGTGCGACCCAGGTGTGCAACGCGCAGCAGAAATAGCACACACGAGTGAAAGGGTGCCTTTACCGATGGCATGATCATTCCTTAGCTGTCGATGGCCCATCCAGGAGATCAGTTCTGTCTTTAGGCCATCTGATGCACTGTGGGGATGTGAGCAGCTCTGTTGCTCATCGTTTTATGCCTGTCCTCTCAGGATGCTGTTAGCCTGAAAAAGATTACTTGGAAGATATTTGACGTCGGAAAGAGGGTTGACAACATTTTGAAGGTTGGCACTTTCGTACCAAAGTCTTTCCGAGACCTGGGCCAGATCACTGGCTTCACGGTAAGCATGCAGTGGCCGCAGTGCATTGCATTCCTTTACTGATTGTAACTCTTACTGATGGTATCCTGACGGTACTCTTTCCTAGAATATTTACTAGGCAGGCCTGAGCGCTTATTCCAGTGATCGCGGTTTGCTTTTGGTTGGGTGGGATGGAAAGACGTTGGTGGATGTTCGCAACCAAGATGTGGTTCCTTGACCTCATATCAGAAGAGTTGTATGTGCTGTTCTTTTAAATAATGTGCTTGGCAGTAAAGTGTTGCATCTTAAAGATGGTCTAAACTTTGGCAAAATGTAAAATGCCAGGTCAAATGAATAGCAACTAACAGAATATCGATGCGATCGTATTGGTTGAGGTGAGTCCTTCATGTTCAGCATGGAGCAGGATATTCAAACCAATGCACGTTTCAGTTGGACTCCCGGTGTATCAGATAACATAACATACAGTGTAGAACGTCTAAATCCTCAAACTACTGTATGAGTCAAGGAATTCCCGCAATCCACAAAGCGTAGTACTTGTTTGCTGTCCATCAGACATGAGAGGAATGCAGCGGTGACAGCATATGGCTGTGCGATTGGCATGTTGAACATGCATGAATGAATCGTTGTGCGTGTGAATGTATCCAATAGGTTTGTGCACAGAACAGTGTGACCGATCGATTGGACCTGCTGATGGGCAGTTGCAGCAGACGATTGTGTGGTTGTTTGGGTGCATTGACCTTGTTTCTGTCTTTTGCATTGGCAAGCAACAGTTCAGTGCTGTGCTGCCGGTCCCTGCAAAAACACCTATAGAAATGCACCAATGCAATTACATAAATATTGTGACGTTGAAGCATCAGTGCCCGAAATGAGGCAGCGGGAAAAGTAGGAACAATATGTAGGCAAAAGGACAGAGAAAGACAGCAGTGATTTGGCTGCGACCTGCCTGTGGTGAGGCGACATTGAGCGCCCAAATGTCCTGTCGTTGTCAGGTTATGGCGGAGAGAATCAACTATTGCCGCTACCTTGCTCACTTCCGGGCCATCCATCGCGGTGCGCCCTTTGTCGAAATGAGGGTGACCACCGTGCGGCGGCTGCTGCCGGAGTCCTGGGGATTCCTGTGTCCCGTTCACACGCCTGATGGCACGCCATGTGGGCTGCTGAATCACCTTACGTCATCTTGCCTCATCGCCACTGGTCATGCGGAGGCGATTGCCGATGCGAACACCGCCATATGTGCAGTGAGTTAGGGGGGCTGCCTCCCCTTGTTTCCCTGCCATTTTTTCCCGCCGTTTTCCTTGATTTGACGTTCACCTCTGATATGCAGTTGGGTTGTGTTTTCATTGGGTTCTGCTAGGTTTTACATTCGGGTATTTAAGTCGATTTTTACCATTACCTTTTCCGATGTCCAATTTTGCATCCTTGCGACGATGTGTGGACCGTTGCCACGGCCAAGTTCTCCACTGTTTCTTTGTGTTTATTGCCACTGCTTTCCTAATTTCAGTTAGATCTTGTCCCTTGTATTGGAAAGTACATGTAGAAGAGGGGCACTCCCTTGCTGAACGTTTTATTGGGGTACTTACCAACAACCAGCCGATCGATGCGTCCCTTTCGCTTCAGCAACGGTGAAAAGAGCAGCAGCGATTGTGCCCTGTGACGCCATTTGGAACTGCTGAAGTCGAGTAGCTTTTCCTGGACAATGTGGGTAGTATTGCATTGTGCATTTGATGACTGAGCATTGAGAATGGGGGTTTTGTCCTGTCGATAATTGTGCACTTGTCTTGATTTCATCCGATATTGTGCAATAGAATCTAGGGAGGTGCTGTATACTGTTCTGGTTGATGACGTCATCAACGATGACAAAATCATGCAATGTTCAGAATGGCCATGATGGGTTGACTTGCTGGGAGTCTCCTGTACATGTTCTCAGACAACAAGTTATTTTGTATGTATATTAGCAAGATGTTCTCCCTCTGCTTTGTCATTAAATTGAATACATATGAAGGCAAGGAGGTGGGGGCCAACTGCCTGTTTTGCCCCAGAGAAGCAGTGTCCAAGACTTGCTATTGGATCCAAGGTGGTGGACCTAGCAAATCCAAAATCCGCCAATTCTTGGTTTGCCAATAGAGATTGGCGACCAGCCACTCAGTTTCGTGCTGGACTAATGTTTCAGGCAAAGCAAACGGCGCCATACCTTCTCAATACCCTATTCAATGCCGGGATGCGCTGTCCAGAACTTTCACCTTTTGCCCTTCACTGACCTATGTCTTTGTTTAGGTCCTAGCCGGCCTCGGCATGGTACCAGCCCAGCCGAGAACGCTGAAGGCCAGCGTTCCCAAATACTTGCCGGTCGTTGTGGACGGCCGCCTGGCTGGCCACGTGTTGACCATTGTGGCCCCAAAGGTGGTGCAAAGGTCAGTGCAGCATCGCTGAACTTGATGGCTTCAATTTTCAATGCCCTTTCTGTCGGTTTGGCTGATGGTACTTGTTTGGTCATATATTGTCATCTATACTGAGTAAGCAATATGCTTGCTTACGTCAAATTGCGACAAAGCACTGCCCTTGTGCTGACGATGGTGACCCTGTCTCCCACCATTTTGTCCGCATGTGTGCGCAATTCTTGTCAATGTGTAGTGATTTCAATGAAACGATGGTGAATGTTTATGCAGGATGCATGAATAGCCATAGAGTTATCAGTATAGGCTGTACGCTTGTATGGGATTCCTGAAGGTGAGATTCAGGGGTAGGGATGCAGCAAGCGATTTGCTAGTTGCCTGTGTGTCGTCATACAGAGCCCAGCTTTAGTCATCATGAAGTCTGCCTGCGCTCAGGTAGCTCTTTGTCGTTTTGCGCGTTTAATGAAGACTGGCGATACCAAACACAATTGGTTTTCTGAGTTATCTGGGTTGTCTGGATTCTAACAAATTGTGTCTTAAGAATGATGTGGTATGTTACAAAATGACGACTGAGCATTCACACACAACAGGCGTCCATAGCCAGGCAAACATACTCCCTTTGGAACGCAAACGAAGAACCAATAAGGGTCGCTGTATTCTCAACAAACGAATGAATATGTGTTAATAAGAGAGCACAGCGCTGCTTTGTGTGATAACTGCAAGCTGGACAAAACTGTCAGTGAATCCACATTGGCAATCACTCAATGGATGGGCATCCCCTTCAA